CCGTGGAAATTAGCCAAGATGAGCTTTAAGTGTTATCTGGGCCAAAAGGCTTATCCTGCCTGCGTTGGCTGGAGATATTTACTTGTGAACTGTAAGTGCAAGGGAAAAATTGACCTGTATAACTTCTCATACAACAATATACAACATGTTGTTGTTAATAATGCTCGGTGCAAAAACTAAACGAGACAAATGTGGTGTTGGGATCCATTCTTTGGTATCTTCTTTCATTTTTTCTGCGGTATACAACCGCCAGTGAGTGATACCTGCTGCATGTGAAAGGTAGACGGTCGACTGGGATTTGTTGATGTTTTTTCCAGTTCTCATTTTGTAGAAGCAAGTGCTTCTGCTGAAGCGCTGTGGGCCTCGGAGTTGTGTGGATGGTGTGGATGGCAATGCCGTCGATCGCAGATGGCAGCTCATGGCATGCCATGTATAACAGGCATGCCTGTGTATGGACACGCATGCGGAGATCAGGACACGGACCAAACATGATCAACTCAGAGATCTGTTCACGCAGTCATTTTGGATGTGTTTGTTAAGCTCACTAGGTAGGTCTGGAACTTCCCTATATCTATATATATATATACACATGTTTCAGAGTGCGCCACTTCCATGTCACGCTTGTGGCTGTGCGCCTGCGCAATCATGACGTTGCAGCTGCTGGCTGTGCGGGCAGCTTCTTCGCACAGGTACCCAATCCACCCATGCTCCGCTAACATTTCTGTTCGACAAGTCTCGTGTGGTTGAGTTGTGTTTTGGCAATCTTGGGTTGTGCTCACTCCACTTTGTGCTTCCACGTTGTTCTTTCTTAGCCGCAGACGATCCTGCAGCTGGGTTTCAAGTGAGACTAGACCTTCACCGCCATGGCTCTTGAGTGCATCAAGGCCAAGAAACTGAAGATTGCGAAGAAGGTCAAGACCAGGCAGTCCCCGTCTGTCCATATGGGAGCTAGCAAGAGCTTCCGTGTGTCGGTGAAGGAGATGCACCCAATCCATTCCAAACTGTTACTCAGATCAGAAAAACTTAGCGCATTGACATTGATCCCTATTTGCAACAAACCTTGCACATGCGCAGACTACATATTATGAATATACGTGCACGGCACACTCAGAAAAATACCTTGTAGGCCTTAAGCAGTGTTTGCAATTGACGTTGATCCCTCAGTCTCTATAAGTGTTTGGTCAGGAGATGTCAGGAGTGTTTTGGTTGAACGCCTTTGCAACAAGCCTCGTCTTATATATGTAGAGTCTAGAGACTATATAATTACATGGGCACACCATACATACACGCACCGGCCGTCTTCTAAACGGGTGGTTCCCAAAAGGATCACAATCTGAGGCTTAATCTTTGGATGATGGCCGGGCTTCCTTTCACGCTCCTGACGCTTCTGGATATGGTCTTTCAATCCATGACAAATCCAACGGTGGAGCCATGGCTGAAAAGTGTCTTTGACCATACTCCCAAAAAACTATGTCAGTGTTTGCCATGTCATTTGAAGCTTACCCAAAACCACCTGTCAACACCTCGGTCAGAGTCTTTTCCTCAGGCGCTATCTTCAGTGGAGGTGTTCGCTGGATGCAAAAGCGTCACCAATGGGTTCAGGCAAGGGCTGTAGCAGAGCTCTTTACATGTATCTGGCAGTTCTATGTTTGATATTCCACCTTATCATTGGCATTGTGGTTGGAAAAATGTACAATAAATTCACTGGCTTCAGAGCTCTTCGCAGGTCGATCGGATGCGATGCTGCTAGCGTCGAACTTGAAGATTCGCCCCTTCAAGACTTTCTCAGTGGAGTCGGTTTCGCGGCTTCAACATGCACAGTAAACAAAGGAATCCACATGTACAGTCTAGTGGTGGTACCTAGTTCTTGAAGCTGCTATGGAGTTTGATACACTTGCACTGCACAGTGCACGCAGCATCAGGCTATGCATACTGCCTGGCATTGCTATCGAGGCTGCACCGGCTTGATGCTCGGCGAACAATGGAAGCTGGAAAAGATGGAAAAAGTAAACAGAGGAAGACACCCTTCACCAACCAAGAGCTTTTTTGCATGAACAACCCGTCAACTCAGGGTGGACTACTCTGGCTGGCGCCAGTACGTTCATCATGGGTGTGGGTAAATAGGCGGGCAGTAGTCACGCATGCTTGTTCCGTTTGGGGCACTGTTCATGTCAGCTTCCAAGACCATGGCTTGGCGCAAAGTGAAACGGCCCTTTCAGATCCACATCCTGCCGATCGCGGGAGAACCCACTTGGAGATACCAGCAAGACTTTTGTTGCCCAAGCGAAACTCGGTCTATTTATATTCGGTTCAGCTTCGGTTGCCGTGCGCACTGGTTCATGCAGTACTTGATGCATCTCACTCGAGGGTTTGTTTGATCTGCAGGTGTGTTTGCCCCAGCCCCATCGTGCCTATAGGTGATCGAGGTGTATAGCTCCTCTTCGCGCCGTGCCTCACGATCGCGAGATTTCGTCAGAGTCTTCAGATTCTGAAACCCACCCAGTGGAGGGTCTCAATAATGCAGAGCCCAATTGGAACTGGGAAGACTGTTTGCCTAGCCTTGGTACTGTAAAGTATGTACGAGCTTTGCAACTTCTTGGTCTTGAGTTGGCAGCTGCCGTTCCAGAGAAAGTCAGACAACAAGCGATCACTGCGTTGCCAGAGCCGACCGGGGACCTCATAGTGGGTTCATTTGGAAAGAAGCCTACGAGGGAAAGGCTGCTGACATTTGGCAGCACTTTAAACAGTGTCAGCTGAAAGCTTGTTCTTTGCACTAGCTAGTGGCCATTGAAAACTGTACCTCTGCAAATCCCAACCTAGGATCAAGAACTTCTGGGTTCTTCACTGCATCTTGAAGTTCAAAGCGTTTCAAGTTCGGAACCCTTCCAAGCCAGAGTTGGAGATCGTGCTCACATCCTTCAATGAACAATTCCAGGCCCATGGTCCTATGGTTGTTTTCATATGTGGGGGGGTTGTTTTGTCCCACTTCCCATGTCCTGTAAGTTCCTGGTGTATCCACCCCTTGTGCAGGGCCTTGCCATCCGCGCAAATGACACCTTTGCGCCTCGGCATCAAATGTGCATGCGCTGGTTGTGGGGCTTGTCCAAAACATGAGACACCTAACTTCTGTGGATGTCAAAAAGATGTGAGGACTATGACACGATGTTCGAGTCAATCGTGACCAAGATCCAGAAATTGCGGTCCGGCCTTCGAAGGACATAGCATATAATATATCATGTATGAAGCCTGTAGATCAAGTTTCAGCAAGGCATATATGGCAAGCTTGTCTCCAAAGTTTCAGCAAGCATGATGGGGTTTACTGTCGTCACCAGGAAGTGGCAGAACGCCAAGCACAGCAGTCGCAACGCATGGGTGCAGGTCTTGAAAGACTTGATGCGCAACGCCAGCGCTGACATCGATGTTGATTTGGAAGCGGAAACCGAGCAGTTGGGGGGGGAGTCAAGATGATGGCAACTCTTCTTCTGAAGATGATCCCATCCCTGAAAACTTTTTCGGGGTAAAGGACAAACCTCCACTCCATCACTACTCCAGCTCTTCATCTTCGATTGGGGATAATCGTGATGATGTCCCTCCTCATCGCGTCAGGGTCTGAGTTGTTTGGGGTTCTTTTCATAATGGTGAGGCCTTCTATTTGTGAATGGTTCTAGCTGTCAACTGCAGAAACTTGGTTTGGAGGATCTCGAGAACCTGTCATCTTCATCGGAACCTGCAGCGGAACCTGAACCTGCAGGGGAACCTGGAGCTTCGGAGTCCATCAAGAAAGCAGTTGAGTGCAAAGCCCTGGTCCTATTTCAACCCGAGGCACCGGTTGTGAACAGAACAATCCCTCAATCAAAGCCAACCAACCAGTATAATCACCGAGTTCAACCATCCTGGCCGATCCAAACCTTCCTCACTGACCCTTTCAGGAGACAGGCGCTCTTCATCAAGAACGTTCTCGATCAGAGAGCTCACCATCACCTGTGGAGTTCGAGCCACCGGTGAGGAGGAAGAGGAAGGCTAAGTCTGGGGGGTCCAAGTCAAAGAAATCCAAGAAGAAGAACAAGGCAGCCTCAGTTGAATCTGGTGTTGGTGATGTGGTGGCTTCTTTCGACAAAGACTACCATTCGCTGCTTTCTTCGATGCCTGAACCATTGAAGCCTACAAGTGTTCGACACGGTCAACACAGTTACACAGTGTTTCTCAACTCAACCTATAGTTTGTAGGTTTGTCTCATGAACGTTTCCTATAACTCAACTTATACTTGTGCCTCGTGACTCGATCCGAGGTGGGTCCATTCAAAGGCCCGTGTGGAGGTTCTTCTACGACAGCAAGCTCTAAAGCCCAAGTCCGATATCCATGGGAAATTGCTTTCTGGGCCGTCTGCAAGTTGAGTCTCGCCAAGACATGGTATAGGGGTGATTTATTGGCTTTGGGGTCAGTCTTCTTGCACCAAAGGGTCTTTCTGGGTTATACCTGTGAACTGGCTCAGGATTTCTTTCGCCAAGGATGACATCCAAGCAGCGTGGGAGAAGGCTCAGGAAGTGATGGGGCTACCGCGCTAGTTGTGTTTTTGGGCCATGGGCCATAGGTGTGTGCTTGCATGCACAAAGTGATGTAAATACCGTATATACAATTGTGAACAATGTTGGTGTTCCTGCATTGGGCAATGACTGCAGCCACACACGGGCCTGGAAGTTTGGTTGATCTGTCTTTTGGGTGAGTCAGGTCCTGTCGCTTACAACCTGTTACTTTGAGTCAAACACTGGAAATCTTATCTTTGATCTTTTCCTCTAGATTGCCTAGATGGGACTGGCTCCACCTCGGGGTGTATAGGCTCTGATCAGACTCGGAGCGTATACCTATTTGGGACTATAGCTCCGCGCAGAAGTCATGCGTCACTATACCGAGTGATGCAATGCAGTGTGAACATGCAACAGGCCCAAAAACTGTTACAAATAGTTGAGAGCTCGTGAAGCGGCAAGCAGCCAAGGAATGAGATGGTCACCCGCTGCTGCATTATGATTTACATGTGCTGCGTCTTGAAGATACCTTTCATCTTAGAGCAGCCAATGAGTTCACTTCTCCAATACCATCCGGATTTCCAGAGACTTTGCCGGAGCTTTACCATCTATAAAGTAACCCGGCTATATATATAGTTGTAGCTAGTGTCAGAATGTGTGAGCACGAGGGTTGCGCAGCCTTCCCAATTTGCCCATATCTCAGGTCTTCATTTGGATTGGCTCTTATGGTGGAAGCTGTGCCTTGTCGTGCATCGTGATCACAGCGCGTACTTGTCCTACAGCACGTACTTGTCCTACAGCACGTACTTGTCCTCCATATCGTACTTGTCCTCCAGCTGATGCTTCAACCTTGGATCGACGATCTCAGGCCCAAAGGGAACCTTCCTCTACACGAACTACCGCTGGGTGCAAGAGCTCTACCTCCCTTTGCCCAAAGACAGGGAGTGGGATGAAGATGTTTCGATCAAGCAGCTTCGGCTTAAGAAATCAGAAGATATTTAAGAAGCCAACATTCAACGTATGAGTATGTTTGCTGCATGTGTTCTGATTAGTGCATGCGTGTTCAAGTTTATGTACTGGTTGTGTACTATGAAGGTTTGTTTACTGAATCCTTTCTGAGGTACATTGACTCCCAGGGAAACCACCGTGTGCAGGGTGGGCCAGCTTTGAAAGCTACACAGCATTACCCAGCTCTATTTGGCCACTCCGTGGCGCAGCTGTGGGAGAGGAATCGCGCTAACATCAAGCGCTGTGTGCAACATGCAGCGAAGCTTATCAGCGCTTACAATGCAGGCGCATGCGTGTGCACTGGAAGGTGATCAACACATGGGTGTATGTAGATAAACATGATTGTGTATAGGGACATCTTTCGGTGCACTGTGCTCGTGAGGAAAGAACTGGCAGCTCGGTCGATCCCTATGAAAGCTGCGATTAAGGACCGGCAAGCATGAGGGGAGATGTCTCTTGTTGGCGCCCTCTTTACAGACCAAGGGATCAGTTTGGATTATATACAAAAAAGTCTATATCTATGTATAATGCTTGAGACATACGTTTCAGACCAACCAAAGAACTCCTTGGAGTATCTTAGAGTAAGATCCTGAACGCTTGGGACTCCACTCATATGTTCAAGGTATGTCTATAGGGTTTCCCACCTCTATATAGGGTTGTAAGAGTCTCCGAGGTCTCTTTTTTGAACAAATGGGTTAGGCAAGTTGGCTACTGGCCCCCCCTCCTTTTGAGTTCCTTATCCCACGTTTTCGAGTTTGGAGACCTCCACGAAAGAGCGATGGCACCCAAGAGTTCCCACCTCTGTCCAAGATTCTTGGAACCCAAGCTAAGAATAATTCCAACCAATTAATCAACCAATTCCAAAATGATTCTATCCAAGATTTCTTGGATTCCCGGATTCTTGGATCCAAGAATTCTCGGATTCCCGGATTCTTGGATCCAAGAATTCTCGGATTCCCGGATTCTTGGATCCAAGAATTCTCGGATTCTCGGATTCTTGGATCCAAGAATTCTCGGATTCCCGGATTCTCGGATCCAAGAATTCTCGGATTCCCGGATTCTTG